GTGCAGCATTTTGATTTAATGGTTGGAATCGTTGGTTGTCATCCATCTGACTCTTATATGCTTGGATGAATAAAACCTGCTTTTGTTTTGCTGATGGTGCAGTTCATTTACATGCAGTTTATCAAGTTGGGAGTGCAGGGAGCAGAGTGTGATTCTGTGGCAGCGTCCCCAATATATTTATAACAATGTCTTCATTGGTGTTGTGTACACTTGTGTTGATGCAGTTTCTTTTAAGAGGTTTAGGCAAACATACAGTGTTCATCTTAGTGTGGACTACCTCACACTTATCAAGCTATAGCTCTATATCTGTACTCATGGGGGTTGGGTGTTACAAACGATACAATTGAGGCCAGGATGTATTCAGATCTAGTTTTATAAAGCAAAAAGGCATTTCTATCTGAAGCTACAAAATTAAAAGGCATGAAAAAAAATCTAAATTTGTAAAGCATCGGAAAAGATGAATACAAAAAAGAAGCATTACACAGAATAAAAAAAAAGTAATAACAGAATAACATATGAAAATAAAAACAAGTGTTAATATCAGTTTACGCTAGAGTTAGACAATCCCACTAAAATCTAATTTTTATTAAAACAAAAAAAGTGGTCAAAATAAAAAAAAAATGGTGACATCTCAAAGAACTCAAAAGAAACAACAACAAAAAAAACTGTTTAAAAAAAAAGAATTAAAATAGAACATGAGCAAAAACTTTTAACCCTGGAATGAATTAAAACAAGAACTCTAAGTTCAATACAACTGAAATTTAAATGAACATGTAATCAATGTGAAACAGAGGAGAAACCACAAAAATCAAATCCACACCTGTTGAGTAAAACTGAGCACTGACAGTTGATATACAAGGAAGAAAAGGTTTTATTTAGAGAATGACACAAAACAGCTGAATACAGGTCTGTAGAGGTGTAAATCACATCCATCATGGCGATTCGATTCAGTATCGATTTCCTGACCCAACGATTCGATTATTTTCAATATTCAAAAAAACACCACGATACGATTCGATTAATTGGTTCATTTTTTTTTTTTTTACACCTTACAGGCTAGACAATGTTTCAAATTTGAAATAAATCAATGTAAGCTGTAATATCGTTATGCATATTTTTTTAGAAACAACAGCAAATAACAGAAGTATAAGAGTTGCACTCCACCTATTTTATTAAAACCTCAATCACTGAAAAATAATAATACCCCTACGTTATAGATTCTGAAAGGCCTTGCATAAAAAAAATAAGTACTGCACAAAATCAGTGCAATGAGTGCAAGGCAATACCTTGGCTCCAGACGTCCCCGCCCCCTCCACAGACGCTCCGCTGCACCTCTCCCAAATTGTAGCTGACCGCAAACAGTGCCGTAGACAGAATGCCGGCTTGTTTTGTTTTTATGACCGAAATTGCGGAAAACAACTTGTGAAGTTTGACCCATTAGAAGAGCGAGGTGCGCGAGAACACTGGGACCCTTTTTCCACCTGGATCTCCGCTCTTTTTGGCCCTCATGTTCCTCCGTCGTCGGACTAAACTCGCCCCCAATTCCACACTGCCTCGGCGGTATCCCAGCGTGTAGCCCGGACCACGCTTCAATATTGAGCATAAATCAAAAATGTCTGTGTCAAGCTTACTGAAACACACTGCTGTAAGAGTATAACCAGGAAGCGGGGTAGGAGGGCAAAATAGGTTAAGCGCCACCGCAGCACGGGAGGGAGAATTACGCCCAGGAGCAAATGGATAAAAATAGATCGGAGGAAAAAAAACAAAAAAAACATGAATCGATACTCTTGCGGACGTATCGATGCATTGGATAGTCGGGTGTTGGATCGATGCATCGATGTAAAACGATTATTATTTACACCCATACAGGTCTGAGTGTGTTCAGCAACCCACCCCAGAATATAAAGAGACTCCACACTACACACACACATTAACATTGAGTCTTCCCAAGAGAAACACTTTAGATCATCAAAGGACATAATTTTGCTCAGATAAACATTTCAAACATGTTTCTTGTTCACCCCAGTAACAGGAAGGGAGAACGATAAGGGCATGCATTTTAACCATAGCATGAAGGAGGCTTTGTGAACTCATTATTTCTCATGAGCTTCCCTTCAGCCTTGTCTAGAGTAGGGAGGGGAGGCATCGGCTTTCTAAACAGTACAGCATAGTGAAGGGTACAGGACTTCTCAATCATTACTCCTATTCAAACAAACATTTTATCACACAAAATGACCAAGGAAAAATATGACTCCACACACCACAAACTGTACAGAGATAGCATTTAGTACAAATATGATCCAGCTTAACATATGCATAGCTTAACCTATGGTAGACATAGTATAAATTCTAAACAAGGGTTCTTTACTTGACATCAAAGAAGTATTTTGAAGTGGTGTTGCAGCGTTGGTAGTTTCACTTCCTGAGGCTTGTATCAGACTATAGTTAGTGACACTCTGTTCAGGTAACTTGTGCAATTTTTTCTGGAATAGCCACAATAAACAGACAACGTAATACAGAACAGTTTAACCAAATTCTAATAAATAGAAAATAGATGCTTTTATTAGATAATATAAAATAATACAAGTGTGTAATGGTGCGTTCACACAGTAGGCGGTGAAGGTGGTGATTTCAGCCGCTCTGCATTTTATAAACGCTGGACCACATCATCGAATAGGAGGAGCTTCAGCTGTGTGAAGCTGACATGAAAAAACTGAAGACAAAATAGACTGAATGGTTATAGTTTCTTTGATGCAGGCTTTTGCATATAAAATTTTCATTTGTAAATATAAAAAAAATAAAAGATAAAAAGATCGCATGTTCTGTCATTGTTTCAGAGATATTAAAGATCATTTTTTAGGTCACCCAGAAGTCAACTATCCCCCCATCCCACCAAAACTGAATCAAAACTATGTAGCCTGTTTTTTCAGTGCTACTTCATTTGTGCAGGTAAAACTATTGTTTGTGCTGATTTGGTTTTAAATATAAAATAGTTTTTTAATACAGCAGATGAAGTTACGATCATTGCGCATGCTTGGGCTCTCTCCGGGTACTCCGGCTTCCTCCCAATGTCCAAAAACTTGACTGTTACATTAATTAGCTTCTTTAAATCTCCTTAGGTGTGAGTGTGTGCATGAATGGTTGTTTGTCCTGTTTGTCTCTGTATTGACCTGCAATAGACTGCCAACCTGTCCAAGGTGTACACCGCCTCTCACCCATAGACAGGTGGAGATAGGAACCAGCATCCCTCGCGACCCCAGCAGGGATCGCAAGGGATGCTGGTCAGAAAAAAAATGGAATTACAGCGGATGACGTCCCAGCAGACGTTAGTTAGTGGTGTGCTGATATAAAGTTATCGCATAACATCACATGTCATGTCTGTGCTGTTACTGAATATAATAGTGGGCATGTTTAACTTATTTAGTGACTGGAATGATTGTTTAATATGTAGTAAATCACCAGCCTCCCTTGGCAACCCATCTCATTTCCTGTCATGGTCTCGCTGTCTGTCGGGATTTCACAATAAAAGTACAGGTGAAACTTAACATCAGGGACTGATGCTACATTCTTCCTTCTAAAATCCTTTTGAATCCATCATCTTTTGGATAAGCCCTTAAAAGCTTGATTAATTAAACAGACTAGCTAGATTAATGTTAACTTTAATAACAACTCAAAAGCATAATAAGAAACCAACATAACTTCGATGGCATGTTGTTTATTCTAGGGCTGCAACATGAATTGATAAAATTGATAAAAATCGACTTTTAAAAGCGTTGGCAACGAATTTCATCATCGATTAGTTGTGTCGCGCGATTAATGCGTCATCCGCCGCCGCCGTCATCACATCCACTTGACTGAAACAGGGGAAGAAAAAAAAATACGGCACAGCGAGTCAGCGCCGCAGGTGCAGTGTTGCCAACTCAGCGACTTTTCAGACCCCTCCAGTGACTATTTTTCAAAAAGGCGACTAGCGACAAATCTGGCGACTTTTTACGGTGTCACTGGCGGCTTTTGGAGACTCTTACGTGAAAGCATATGTATCGTTCCTACTCTGCCGTGGGGCGCCTCCCCCATCCCAACTCCATTCTCCCGCAGGAGTCCCTCTCAGCGCTGCAGTCAGAGCCGCAGGATGTTTACCCTCAGCGTCCAGACTGCAAATGAAGCGCGCATGCGCCGGGATTGACGGCGCAAATTGATCACAATAATTAAAATAGCCTGCGCTTTGTACAGTGAAAAAAGTCGTAACATGCAACTTTTGTCAAAATTAATTAACATGGCGCGGAACCACCATGCTTGTTTTGTTTTAAAGTGGGGAAACGTAACGTCAGTTTCTCAGGTAGCTCATCTGATGCTTTCCTTACCGTGTTAGTAGGTTACAGAGAGTGATAAGGTTGGCTACTTATTTTACTTTTAATTTCATTTGAATTAGCTTAAGCAGCGTTTATAATTTCTTTATAAATAAATTAACTTGCAAATTATGAGGGCAAGGCTTTTAAAGTTTAAATCTTCTGGCAAAGATAAAGTAAAGAAGATCCTGCAATTTATTGAAGTAAAGCAGAATAAAATCCAGCAAGATCAGTAATATGTCAATTAATTATATGCTACATTCCCATGTAAATATCTGTCTTTGGAGGATGTGTTTTTAGCACCCCTAGTTCTCTCATTTTTATTCCAAATACAATTTATAATTTGAATCACAGGGCTATTTTTATCTCTATGGTTGAGTATTTTCTCAAGTAGCAACTTTAACTGCTATACTTTCCCATCTTAAAAGGCAGAACTCTTCTAGTCTAAAAAAAACTAATTTGTTGAAATGGGGGGACCTAGGTCAAAAATGGCTTTTTTTGCGCTTTATGAAACAAAGTAGCCTATATTTTGTGGATGTACAGCTACATTTCTCATGTAAGTTTGCGTAGTTTTAACACAAACATTTATTTTTTTCATATTGCACCAGTACAGTTAATGAGCAACCTGTACTTGTGTGCTTGTTTGTTCTGTCTAAAATGTTTATTTTGGAATAAAGAGGTTAATATAAAAAATATTTTTTGTTCGATTCATCGATTAATCGAAAAAATAATCGTCCGATTCATCGATTTTTAAAATAATCGTTAGTTGCAGCCCTAGTTTACTCCCTCAACAAATTGTCTGCTGACTAGATTAAGCCTTTTTTTCTAATTCAACAGCAGAATAGTAACATTAATGATGAAATTATTACAAGCACAATGCTGTTACTGCTTTGTTGTTACACGTCTAAAAATACGACATACATCCATGTATGCATACATTCTATACTCGTAATGGTAAGGCTATTTGAACATACAGCTGCTATGTTGCCTCATTCATTAAGACAGGTTCAAATGCTTCACACGTTTCTGTGCTGTTAGGAAGGTATTGTGGTTAACCAGCAGGCTGGTTGACCTGGATGCCACTTCTATGTGAACAGGAAGAGCTAAAGTCAGCAGAAATGCTATAATTTCTTAGTGATTCAGCATTCAGCCTAAAACTCAGCTGAAGACTGACTTGGTTTCATTTTTTTGGAACTTTTAAGAAAACAATTGCTTTCCTGATCTAGTGATCTGATCTATTGATTCCTGATCTAGTGATCTGGTAAAAGGCTATTGCTCTGAATGTTTTTGGCCCCTAGACTAACCTAGATCAGCTCTAACAACTAAACAGTTGGAGCAGTACAAACATTAATGGTTACAATGATAAGTTAATGCAGTGTGTTGAAAAATATAGTAAAATACTCTAAGTGAAAAAGAATTAGATTTAAATAGCCAAATATCTGTTTTAATATTTTTAAAGGCAGAAAAATCTGCTAATTTATTTCCAGTATTTAATTCAGTAGTTTTCTAGACTGTTCTTGTTTGTGCTTGTTTTCTAAAGCTGAGGTAAGGCTAAGGCTGTTACATATCAAATTACTGGATTTGTGTTCTTTAAACGTCACCGAAATTCAATGTTCGGTAGATTTCGTCTTTCAGCAGCAGATGGCACTGTGCTATAAAGCAGATAGTATTAGGAAACTGTAATAAACTACAAAGTACTAACTAACTAGGGTTTTGAGGTAACCTGTAACTATTGTTTAATGCATATACAAGGCTATACAGTTTGGGGGATTCTTTCCTGTATGAAAGGGAATTCTTAACAGTGTAGTCAGTAGTTATTGGACAATGCCAGGAAATTTGGCATCTTTAATTTTTTATTTATTTATTTTTTGCTTTCTGTGGACAAAAAACGACACAGCAAAATCAGTGCATGTCAGTACCAAACTTGCAAATTAAAATATTCAGCCCCCATACGAAATAAGGCAACTATGGAAAGCGACCATGAGCAGCAGAATATTGTAGTCGTTGTTGCCTCAGCCTCTATCGAAGATGGTGCTAAAAAAGACAACATGGTTAGCCTCAGACTAGATTGGCAAAGATTTATGGTCAATCAAAGAAATTGAAAAATATTTTCACAAAAAAACAGTTGTTGAACTACACAAAATGACACTACTTGTATTTATTTATTAACATTAAATCTGCATTAGGGAATATTTTAAAACAGAAATATCTGTAAATGTGATGAAAAAGAGAGAAGAAAATTTCCTTGTGCTACTATCACTTACAGCTCTGTAGTTCTAGGTCATGCTATGCTCCTCCCCATTGGTCTTAAAGACTCTCAGCTTCACCTGGTGAGGATGTTGGTACTGCATCTCTTCTATGCAAAAAAAAGCTGACAAGTAGAAACATGACATCATATCAGCAGGATGTAACCATAATAGCATTAGTTATTAATTACATAGCAGCCTCCATAACTGTTCTTGTCCATACCTTGGAAGTTTAAGATGTCCACGTCTGTATAAAGCCATAGCAACAGCAAAGGCTAAAACAATGACCAGAAGAAGAATGAAAGCGATCCAACCCTCTTTGCTGCCTGTTTTTAAAAAACAAGACACACAGGCCATAAGGTAAATTTATAGCTTGATTTTTCATTGAAAAACCTGTTGGTGCTTTTAGTAGGTTTGAATATGTTCATATATTTACATAAATGATGTTTTTACATGCAGTTTTACATGCAGGTAGTTGCATATGAATGCCTTTCAGAAGCCCGCATATCCAAAGTCTTTATAGATGTCATGATGGGTCTCAGAACTTAGCCCAAAATGCAGAACACAACGGAGGCTGGGTAAAAGTTTAACAGAGTTTATTGGTTGCACAAAACACAAGAATCATATACTGGAACTGGAACTGGTCAGGGCTGGTTCACTGGAGTCTGCAGAGATGATAGTTTGATTAGGAGACGAACTGATGAGTTGTGAGTCTTAGATTATTCATATGAATAACTTGAAGAAGTCCGGGTTTCTCTTTGAGAGAGAGGGAACTGATGGATCCAGAGACTGTTTGTTCAGCAGAGTCCAAGAGCAGCTGCAGCGTCTTGCTTCTGACTTTTAGGGCAGACCTTGATCTGAGTTTCCAGCTCTTAGCCAAGAGCTGCAGGGGAATCCACATAGGAATCTTCAGGTTTGGCTCACGAGGGCAATCTCGGCAGGTTAAGCT